AACTGGAGTATAATCGTATTAGATGAGAAGTAGCATAGCATAACGGTGTCCCCATTCATCTCATGTTCATGATATCACAAAGCCTAAAACCTCATTGTCTGTATGATCATCTCTATCAACATAAAAGGTTGCGTCGTTTTTGTAAAAAAATGCATGGATACTAACTTAGCTCGACGTTTATGAAATCAATTTGTTTGCCTGAAGCGCAGACTCTGTGCAATCTGCTTATTTTAGTCAGAGATATGTCTCCTAAATTAACTGGTAATTCAAACCTGTCGTATTATATCAATAGAATGGTTGAATATCTACAAGAGATTTTCGGAAGGTTAATCTTGTCCTTGACTAGGTAAATCTCTCATTTATTGCTGGCTTACCTCCTTTCTCTTACTTAATATTGTTTAATAGGTAAATCTTTAATTACAACCAGAACAACGGCAACGCCAAAGCGTAGCGAATCCCATCGAACAGAAATGGCTGGCATTTTTACAAACGAATAGCAAATATCATAAAACAACACACCAGAAAGGCCACCATTTTCAAAATGGTTGCTCACTAGCCAAGTTGTCATCAGAAGAAATAATATACTTTTAAGTAGCCACCTCTAAAATTTTTGAAAAATCGCACACGTACTTGTAAAATAACACACATAAAAATGGTGGCCATTTTTCAAAATGGCTGAGTACTCCCCAAAGTTTTATTAGACAATGTGCCATGCTTAAAGTATTCACATATCAAATATGAACAAAATCGCTCCACTACTTTTCGAGTTATAGTAAAATACGTTAAAATGGCGGCCATTTTTCAAAATGGCCACCTTCTACCAAAAGTGTCATTAGAAATAGACAGTGTGCCATGCTTATAGTATTCACATACCAAATATGAACAAAATTGCTCCACTACTTTTTGAGTTATAGTAAAATACGTTAGAATGGCAGCCATTTTTCAAATTTTTTTTCAAAATGGCCGCCTTCTTCCAAAAGTGTCATTAAGGACAGTGTGCCATGCTTATAGTATTCACATACCAAATATGAACAAAATCGCTCCACTACTTTTCGAGTTATAGTAAAATATGTTAAAATGGTGGCCATTTTTCAATTTTTTTTCAAAATGGCCGCCTTCTACCAAAAGTGTCATAGGACAGTGTGCCATGCTTATAGTATTCACATACCAAATATGAACAAAATCGAACCACTACTTTTCCAGTTATAGTAAAAGACGTTAAAATAGCGGCCATTTTTCAAAATGGCCGCCTTCTACCAAAAATGTCTTTAGACAGCAAGGAGGATTGGCTCCCAGAGTGCAACATCGATATTCTGTCCCATATATGGGCATGTCGTGATACAAAATTCGAATTCAAACAGCCACCATTTTGTTCACTTCAGCATTTGAATCGTGAATTTTGGTCTTGTTTCCGAACGAAATATTCTAAAACTCAGGAGAAATGATCGAGGCATTGGTTCGAATCTTTGGACTGTTTATTTTGAATTTATAGTTGGTTATAATTTCAGAAAATAACGACATTTCGACGATTTCATTGTTGGAAAATATCGAGTTTCGATCCTGGGAGCCAATCCTCCTTGTTTAGACAGTGTGCAATGCTTATAGAATTCACATACCAAATATGAACAAAATCGCTCCACTATTTTTTGAGTTACAGAAAAAATCGTAAAATGACGAGTAAAGGCCGCCATTTTTCAAGATGGCTGCCATGTGCTTCTTTAATATCTACATTTGTAGCATTATTAATGTCCTTTATAATTTTTTTACATTTAAAACATATTGCTATTACAGTTTTACATATTACACCTAAATTACTGTAAAATCGGCACTAAAATGGCCGCCATTTTGAAATGAGCGGCCATTGTGAAAATCGGCTTTCGAGCAGAACTTCTACCCCCATAGGGTATATGTGTACAAAATATGAACAAAATCGGGCCAACGGTATTTGAGTTATTGCCCGGACGGACGGACGGACGTATGTACGGACGGACGGACGTACGTACGTACGGACGGACGGACGGACGGACGTACATACGGACGGACGGACGGACGGAGGCGTTCCCTATATCCCTCCGAACTTCGTTCGATGGGATAATAATATTTCTACTTTTAAATTGAAAATATTGTAACGTTAAGACTTCAACTAATCTAGTTATGGTAGTGACGTCAACCTGTATTAATCTAGTTACAGGTGGATTGAAATGCCATAGTTAAAGGGATCATATGGCTGGTATGTCATGTGTTGTGTAATGCACATTAGAGGGGACAAAATACACTTCATTTGCTGCAAGTATTAGTCAAATTGAGATGTTACATGCCATAATCAAAGCCCACATGTCGCATGCTTAAATACAATAAAGTTTTGAATAAGTGGAAAAATCATGATCGATTAGAAAAAATGGAAACAGTATCATGCTATTTAGATATTAGAATAGTTGTATATTATCTGACACTTAAAAACTACACGCATAAATAATAGACGAGAATCCATGTATACGACTAGAGAATATACAAAGATTGTAATCATTATTTTTGTAAATCCGTTTTTCAAAAGTTGACTATGAACAAACTTCCGTATTTGGCTTGTTTTTGGAAATTTGAGACCAGTGTCATTGAACGAGATGTTATCCAAGCTTATTGGACAAATTGATTGTTCACAAGGGTAATGATCGGTTAAGAAGCAGTTCCATTGGTTGATTTATTTAGCCATGGGGATAGCACATTTTATCGAAACATGGCCGCCTCTTTGAGGCTGTACAAGAGAATTTTGTAGATGTGTCAAGCTGAAATTGTTGATTTGCCTATGTGTGTTCAGCATAAGTGCCAAAAGGCGGTAAGACTGAAGAGTCCTCAAAACACAGCAATAAAAGGAAGGGAGCAAATGTCAGCAATTGTTACCTCGATGACTGAAATATCCGCACATAAGGCAGCGAAAGAATTTCTTATTGTCCATTTGAATTGTGTCCTCGCTCTACAAGTTTTCAGATGTTCTAATCTGACTTTGGATTAAAGATTTCACCTTGTCAAGGTAAAAAGGGTCAAAGAGGTATTTTTTCAATTTGCCTCAAATTCACAATTTTTTCAAAATCATCTACAAGTTCTTGAAAGTTCAAATCTGACTTTAGATTTAAGATTTGACATTAAATTACCTTCTCAAGGTCTAAAAAGGTCCTTTTCAATTTGCTTCAAATTCACCAATTTTTCCAAATCATCTTCACGTTCTTGAAAGTTCAAATCCGACTTAATATTTAAGATTTCACTTTCAATGTCACCTTTAAGGACCTTCTCAGAGTCAAAAAGCCTTCAATGGCCTTTTCAGGGTAAAAAAGATATTTTTCAATTTGCTTCAAATTGACCAATTAAGAATCAAATTATTAATTATTGTTATAATCTTGAATTTTTGTATTTGGAGGTTGGCGGTGGGTGTGTAGGGTCTGTAACAAATGGTAGTTGGTGAAATTTTGCATGTTAATGCCTTGTAAAAAATATGTTTAATACATATTAATGCCAAAGGAAAGTGACTAAAATTGTTACAGAGGAGAGCGGGCAAACAAAATGTATCTAAGAGTACACCAGTCATAATGAAAACAAATCCCAACTATCCCAAACTATAATCCAACGTAAAAAGAAACGATGAATTCTAACCCCTCCAATCATTCAGGTTCCATTATCACAATAGTTATTAATTAATACCTTTCCAGAATAATCTGAATCAGAATATCAGATAAATATAAATAAGAATGGTTGAGTATCATCTGGCGATTCAGTACAGATACATAAAATACATGGACATGCTGGACAGCTTGCCTACCTTTCCTCATGTTTATTTCGTGGGATGATCATGAAAATGGATCTATTTCTAGATCTTAAGCCAGATAATTAAGCCATGATACAATGATCAAAGAACATTAACATGTGAACTTCAGCAAGAACCACTTGGTGTGATATTGAATTGATGAAACGATATGTCTAATATATCGAACAAGAAATAAAAACCTATGCAGAGCGCATCACAGTATGGGAATCGCAGCCATTTGGGTTTAAAAAGAACGATGCACTGTAGCTAGTATTGTTTTATATAAATACATACGATATCTATTGTCACACATCGTTGCTCACATGCATATGCCTTTTCTTTTTTCTAAATAAATGGCAGCATACAAATTGATCTCGGTTCTTTCTTTGGCAATATAATTAGCAAAGTCATGAAAAACAAATCTACCAAGCATAGCAAAACTACCATGTTGAAAGGAGATAAGGCTTACGGATGCATTCCTGTCATATTTGTATTAGTTTAATATGGGTATTTAGAACTTTGAACCATAAATGCTCAATCTACATCCAAGGGTATTTCCCAAATGGTTCTAATCATTCACATTAGTTTTTACTTGATGTAATACCCTATTTATTTTTTACTAGAAAATACATTTATTTGAGGTGCATTCATTTGAGGTATTACATGGACTGCAAATTATTATGGATAGCATATTTATATTCATCGTCCTATATTTTGGCTCAGTTCTTAAAAATTTAAGTGCTTAAACGGTCTGTTGTTTGTTGTTAAAGACTGGCTGTTTTCATTGTGCAAATAGTGAAAAAACTGCTGGGTATATTTGTGTTTACCAACCATACCTGCTGTATATCAACCCAATTATAAGTAAGTCTAGATCTAAAAAGATTACAGCAACTCAAAGTATAATATGTAATCATGGCATTTAAAATACAATAACATCTTATTCTTTAAATATTTTCAGATAATTGATGTATTTTGAAATAAGTCAAAAAGAATGTCTTGATAATTCAAATGCTTAGACATTTGTTCTGTTTGTGTGAATATTTTGTGGCACGAGGTTGGCTTTGCTATGCATTTTGCAAAGGTTTTTAATATCATGCTGTTTTTGTAATGTTCTGTAGGTCTATATACTTAGATGCTTCGATGCCATAAACAACTGGAAAATTATTATTTTATCACAGAAACACAATAGATCATTCTTCATTTGTCTCACAAATATTTATTTACTATTCTTTATTGTTCCCTATCTAATACATCTCCATCATTAGTTGACATTTAATACTGTCTTTATATCGTCCTTTGATTTAACGTGAATCGTGTTGTCTTTGCCTTTGTTTTGCCATTGGTAATTTTGAAGGTTGGGAAAGCAGATTAGTCTGTTGAAGTATACTAATCTGTTTTTCGTCTGCAGAGTTCTTTCCTAGATGTAGTGTTTACTATATGTCGATGATGTCTTGATTGTTGAGTGTTGATCCCAGTGGTTAATACATCGTGATTAGACTTTTAGTTCAATCTGGAAAACAGATGATATCAGTTAACTGATGTATCAATACAGAGATCAGAGAAAGTGAGAAACAATGAAGATCGAGCAAATATAGTGCGATCTAGTAGTAGCTTAACAATACCAAGTATATACTATGAAAACAATATTGAAAACCTTTGAGATTAGAGCATTTTTCCGTGAACTTATTCAACGACCTGGTTGTACATACTTCTACCCCAAAAACAAATTCAGCTTAATTTGTTAAAACCATTTGTATATCTATATAGCTATGCAACAAAATGTTTCCATGTATATAAACTAAAATAATATAACATGAAGCTTGAGATATGATGATTTAGACAGTTAAGAAAAATGCCTCTTTTTGAATTTTGAAATGATCATATTTTTCTTAGCAACTTTGTATACTCCTAGTTTAATAAGAATGGAGATGACTAAGGATAAAGATTTCTTTTAGAATTCATATAATGAAGCAATGGCCCCTAAGGGGCCATCCACTATTAGACTTGGATGTCCTTTTTTATAGAAATATTGACATGTGAATCTAATCTTGAGAATTGAATTCCAAATACATTTACTACTGCGGAACGTGCATGGCGTATTTAAAATGTTTAAAAAGTCAATTGAAATTTGTAAAAACCGTAAAAACCACCTGCAAAAAAGATTGGATAGCCATATTACTTCCAAGCAAGTCATTCTCAGTGTGTATTTGATTTTAGGGGATTGATTTTTTTCGGGTAGAGATGCCAAATGATAACTTGCAGTCTCAGATAAGAAAATAATAGATTTATATATCACGGTTGGTATTTTTCCCACTTAATGTCAAATGAATCATTTAGGTACACAAAAGAAGTAGTATGAATCTGTTCGTTGGAATCCCTCCATTAGTCAAACGCAATCTAGTTTTATTTGATGGAAACTGAAACGTATAAATAGATTACTGATTCTTAGACCATGGCATCCAACCACTTTAAAAACATGATCTTCCTGTAACTCTGCATGTTTCAACGTATACGCCAAAATAATTTACAATTTATTATCTAATGAGTATCATTTAGCCAAAACAAAAATTATGCAATGGAAATTATAGATAACTCGAACATCTGTGTTGAGCTCAAAATGCCAGATGGTGCGTCTGATTCTTCCTGCCCAACTTAATTTCAAAAGGAGTTGTTTTCGCATCTTTAACGTGTATTTTTCCTTCAGTTGATATGTTTATGAAAAATAGTCGATGGAGCATCAACTGGTTTTGACATTCGCATTTAACATGAAGTTTTGGTTAAATGCTAACACGTGTTAAAGATTTCATCGATGTAACGAAGATGTTCGAAGATATGTGTTTTTTAAAATTCTTACAATTCGAGATTGTGTGAAAATGATCGATTATTCCATGTGAAGGAAATAACCTCAAAGTTCTCTTTCGAAGTGCAGTAAATAATACTCTCACTTAGTGTTATAAGTTAAAGTGGTAGTATCCCCATGACACACAGTTTCAAAAGCATTTTAAATCGATAATTCCAGATTTGTAAAAATCAACATTAGTATTAACATGATATGTATTGATTAAATGAATAAAAAGAACGGACTGAAATAAGTATATTTTGGCCAAATGCATCGTCTCAAAACCGTGGAGCATTGATTGAACACATCATCCATAATCCGGAATGTCTGTTGATGCCATCTAACTTCTGCAAGACTTAAGACTTAAGGGACCGTTGTGTTACCCACCAAAGCTTTAGACCTTCCTCTAAAGGACAGTTGAGCAGTGTGTGTGTGTGTGTGTAGAAAATGTCCGTTGTGCTTCCTCTAATGTGTTCGAGCGTTAACATCAGCTGCCTCTAGGGCTTGAGCCGAGAGGGCTTGAGCGCCGGCACGTTCGAGCTGGGCGATTGGGCGCCGTAACCACGAGGTTGCGAGTTCGAGACGCGTTTGCTACTTGTGTTTATTCATTGACAATATCATCAAATTAATGCAAGTAATACCTGAGACATAGCTTGTTGCAAGGGTTCACTTTTGGACCACCCTGTTGTCACTCTATACTTATCAAAGTCGAATTAAATTTGATACTTAGACAGAGAGAGGCACTACATATCAAAGATCATCAATATACCAATTTTTTAACAATTATTTTTGGCATGTCCATGGTGGTTGTACTATCCCTTTAATAGTACAAAATATAAAGAAGCACATACCAGCCATATGCCTACCAGCTGAACTTTAAAGTAAAGACGCCATGGCTTATTAGTCTAATCACTGTAAATCAGTGCATACTTTTACACATGATTACACAATTTACATTTTAGTCAAAGGAAATTTCCCTAAGACCACTCGATAAAGAGAAAATATTGTTTTGCCCCTGCTGGACAGAAAGTGCTTCAATTATAGGTTTCTCTGATCCTTTGGCTAAGTGCTTCTCTGACTTCTGCAGAGCAATAAATTGGAGGCTGTAGCATCTTGATCAAGATTAAAGTCAACCCCAGCATGTCTCTTATAGGGGGCAGGGGTAATGCTATTCCTTATTGTCTGCGAGGTTGATATACCACGCTGCAACTCGTTTCAACGCTCAGCGTGAATCACACAACCATCAAAACAAATATTCTGTTCCTGAATATTTTAAATCGGATCGATTAAGGAATCCACTATTTGATGCCAAACAATATGGATATACACATTCTCTGATGTATCCTTAGATTAAACAAATACTGTTCCCATCGATTAATCACAAAATCTTGAGTTCGTAAGATAAATGATTGCCTTTTCATTAAAATTCAATGCATGAGCAGAGCATATGTCATTATTACTCTCGGAGTATGGCTTTATATCTCGTAATTATATATCAACAACGTTGTTGCAAATCAGGCAATGTGAAGGTTAATTGGGCCCAAACTGCGCCATGCCTGATTTGAATTCCAATCATGCCATAACCTTCTCTCACGACGGGTCCGATATTAACTTGCAACTATGGTTTGGGTCTCAGTTGCTCATCATTGCAGCAACCAGACTCAACGGCGTACCTAATCACCATGGGAGTATTGTAAATCACTCAGATGTAACAATTTCATTAATAAAGTTTAGGAACTGAAACTCTCGAAGAGACTAGTCAAAATGTCATCTTCAACAGGGCTTCACTGTTGACAGAGGAAATGTACTGAAATATATAAGCATGTATGCTGCAAGGTCGAAAGTACCGATGAAAATGCCATCTTCAGCAGGGCTTTAACTGCTGACAAAGAAAATGTATTGAAATATGTAGGCTCGTGTGTTACGGGGAAAAATACTAAAGAAAAGGTCCTGAAATATACAGGGGAAAATACCAAAGAAAAGCTCCTGAAATATGTAAGCACGTGTGCTACGGGAGGAGAACCCAAAGCAAATGTCATCTTCAGCAGGGCTTAACTGTTGACGAAGTAAATGTCCAGGAAGCATGTGTGCTACGAGGAACAGTATCAAAGAGCATTACAAAATACAGCATGACAAAAAATAGCAAGATCGGCATTGGGAAAACGTATCAACAAATAAGCAATGCCAGCCACCCCATTCCCAAACATTCACCATTCAAGACCATGGGTATGGGGCATATCATTCACACTGGAGACATCCAATACACAATGAAAGCCAAATTGTACCAAATAATGTACTTGACATAGAAAATATCCAGATATAGCACTCATGTCTCAACTAATCTGAAAGAGATCCATCTGGACAAATCCAGTATTACAATATAGAAAACAACAGAAAGCACTTATAACAAAATCGACCCATAGAACGGTGATCTCCAATACGATGCTATAAATTATAAAATTGTTTTAAATATTTAAAAAAATCAAAGGTTAAGTTGTAAAAAAGACGATACCAAATGGATATGGGTCTCAATCCTCTCTGCAAAGCAAATGGATCACGTCCAATATAATATATCCAAGATAAAATTGAAATCTGATTGCTTTGGTCTCATCATATCACCTTAAAGAACATGGGAAAATAAATACGATGCCAGAATATTCAGGTGTTAATGTGTTGAGATAAACCATCTTGACTTGTCAAAGAAAGGCAATGAGCACTTAGTATGAAGATGTACATTATGCATAACAAGCTGGAGCATATCAAAATATAAGGCGGAATTAGAGCGAAGCTTGTACATCTTAATGCCCAAATGAAAAGACAATTAGAAAGACACTGTGTATCGCATGAATAACTCAATTATGGAGGCTCGTGTGACTCGAACCCACGTCCTCTAGGCTGGTTACGACAGCTGTGCTAAGTTTGACGTGTCATCGCCTTACAGACCTAGATAATCGCCACTCGCATAATTCCACAATCACAAAAACGTTTTTTGACATGTGGCTGATTTTGTTAAGAAGCTTTAGGTCTTGGAGTTTGAAATCAATGCTGAAAGTTTGATTGTTTATTTTGAAAGCATGTTGAAATCTAGGTCAAGTCGACCTTAATAAAGTCTGCAGTGTGTTGTGATAGCATGATCGTTAGCAAACAGCTTTATAGATCAATATCAAAGGTCGATACAGAAGATCAGGTAAGTTCCAAAAGTTATCGTAAGATACAACCAGATCTGAAACACAATAATATAGATATCTTTCAAGAACCCTAATAAGTAATAGTGTACCTCCAGATTAAGATGGCCTCTTGCTTAAAGTTATACAAAACTACACTACAGTAAGTTGATTTTATTCTAATGGTATCAATGTAAGATAATGTTCTTCGCATGATATCTATAATATTTTGATTAAACTGCCTTGTAATCAGTCTATGTAGCTTTAATGCAGAAAATACAATTATAAACCTCGTATTAGAGCGTGTGATACGAAACTTGACAAAAGAGGGTCAATGACTTATGGCTCAGACCTCGTACGCACATTATCGTACTTCTTCAACGAGATCAAATGTTACCATTTCTGATTTATGATGAGCCGCATTACAAAAACAAGATATTAATCGAGCATATGTTGTGTATTATCTGTCTACAGTACCTGTAATACAGACTTTTGTTAAATCATGAT